CTTTGAGTTTGTTCAGTCAGCAGCTACTATGAAGCCCCTTCAACTCAGGTGCCAACAACCCTGTAGATATGGTGACACACAGCAAAGAAATACAGGGTAGCTGGGGACTACAACATCCAGAAGATTCACCGTGTTGTGGAAAAAGACCAAATTTGGTTTGATAAAGCCTTGATAACTTAAGTCTAAGCCATGTGAAGAATACATTGACACAGTCTTACTTATTGCTTTGGCCTCTGTCCTCTTTAGTATTCATTGTCTTACAATATGCTTTTGGGTGTGCCGTTTTCTTCTGTTTTAGTGAATACAGAATCCACACAAACAAGACTGGAAGCCAATTACAAGGGAAGCATTAAAACCAAACATTTCCAAAGCTCTTAATTACTGTATGTCAACAGCCAGAAAATCTCCTAGGGAAGTTACTATTTGCTCCTTTGTTGCAATTCTTTTATTTTTAGCTGTTATTCTAACCGTAACAACAGGACAGATTTTCAGATAGTTTGGATAGCTTTATTTCATACTGATTAATTCAGTTACTGCAGCATTTATTGATCTAAAAGATAATTGATTGAATTTGATCCGGTATTACCAATTAGGTATGCTGTCCATATAATTAAAACTGATGCTGTCCAAATAATTAAAACTGATTTTGCTGTTACATGTTTTTGTTGTATTATCATTTGTACGTGGGAAGCATAGTTTACAGTTTCAAAGGTTTGATGAAACAATTTCCTTTTATAACCAGAGTTACTTGGCAGAATTAAAAAGTTACTATTCTTTACTTGGAGAAGTAGCCAGAGAAACTGGTTGACTTTCAGTCAATGTCTGAGAAAAGAAAATGTATTTAAATGGAAATAATTTCATATTGGACTCTGCCTCCAAAAAGTATGAGAGTCATATAAATTAAGATAATCTCATCTGAAATTCAGTGTACCTAAATCAAAGTAATTGTATTTTTTCTGTATGCTTTGAATGTTCTTCAGAAGATTGCAGTGAAATATTTTTGCGTGTCAAGAATGAGTGAAGCTTAGCTATTAACCAACTATAGAGAATAAACAGGGAAAATAGGCAAGTTAATGAATGAGGAAGTGAATGAATTAAAATATTTCCATAAGATATTTTTACTGTTTATACTTATTAACTATTACTGTTAGTTATTGATAAAGAGCAGTTTTGATTTATGTGTAATACGTTTATTTGGAATAAATGACATGCAAATTGACTGTAGCTCTTCCTGTTCAGGAGGTCAGCCCAAGTCTGTTCCACCTCCTCAACTATCATTGCCTTTACTGGACTATCCCAATTTATATCTTAGTATATAAGAAAATAAGTTGCTTCTCTTGCTCATTTAAAATATTAGGTCCACATATTTTTTCTAGAAGCTACAGCTTCATTCAAAACCCACTGATGTCCTCCAAAGAGGTTCCCAATTATCTCAGCTGATGTGGATTCAAGACATTAAGGAGTTCTGGTTGTCCTTTCATTGTCCTGAAATTTTCAGGTTTTGTGTCAATGATACCGCAAACCGGGACTGAGGGCTCCTCTTGCAGTGTGGGTATATGATGCCAAATGCTGATGTGGAACATAGTAATTCTGCCAGTTCACATTTATTCACCACTTTTGAACACATTTTCTGACAGCTTGCCTTTTAGCAGCAGGCTCATGCCAGGTCAGATGTCTGTATTGCACCCATTTAACTTTATGCTAGGTCAGATGTGGTCTGTACTCCTGCAGCTGGCTCAAAGTCAGCATAAGCTTCCCATCTTGTGCTCTGATTTAGCTCAACAGACATGTGACTGTATGCTCACGCCTGATTCAGATCAAATTAATACTGCTCCATGACCTGCAGTGAACAGACAAGGTATTAATGATGGTCTTTTGTCACATTTACACCTGTATGAAACAGTGGATAAAATGTTACGACTTTGCTTTTCATAGCAGTAGTCTTTTACTTTGCAGTCTCTTTCAACAGTGGGAGCTGATAGTAGGGTCTTTCTTAATAATCTGTCTTCCTGCCCTGGACTTTTAAATGGAATAATTGTCATTTTTCCCATAGCAGCAAATACTTGACAGTGATAAAAAGAACAAAAACATTTCCTTCCACTTCTGCATCAGATAAATGCCCAGGAAAATGTTTACCAGGGCTGGATTCTTGCATTACTTTTATATGCCATCCCAGTAATACAGTCATTCCAAAGTACTCCTTTTCTCATGTTTTCCTTTCAGTGACCAGTGACCAGACCGTCTTTGGCCTTCATCCTTATCCTTACACACAAACTCTCTTAGCTGTTCTCAGCATCATTGAGGTGACATTTATGCACAGATAATAAGAGCAGATCCTATAATTGAAAGTGAACCCAGAATGTATTGAGGATGGAACATTATGTATTTAAAAGTACTGGTTTGACAGTAGTCCTTTTTCTGGTTTTGCTTTTGTAAATTTTTTTTTCCTGGCAGATAATATCCAAGCAGCTCAGGTTTGATCATGTATAAATAGCAATTTCACTGTATAGTTGTAGGTTGTTATTTGAACCAACATACTTCCTGTACCTACGTGAAAATCTTACATGTGCATAGCCCTTGATTTCCTGGCTATAAGGTAGATGTTATTGTTACCATTAAAATTTGTTGAAAGTGGTTTATGAGTGAAGGGCATTATGGTGTCACCCAGGGAAGAATCAGTATACATTTGGTGTACTTTTGTGGTAGACCTGCTTTTCTCAATGCTAAATAACAGGTTTACATCTTAATAAGTAGCCAATATATAGAGACTCAACAAGCATTACAACTGTGTTTCAGTGTCAAAACCAGTTGTATTTCTCGTGTTATTATAGCATGCTTCCCTGTCTTTTATATCCTTTGGTGCAGAAAGCCTTTACAGTTTTTTTCTGGTGCAGAAAGTTCTACACACTAAAGATACTGTTCTAAAATATAGCTGACTGAACATGTGTAATATGCACACACATATAGGCATGTTGTGAAGTTATGTGTTTTATATGATGTGAATGTGTCATGCAAATTTTTAACTTCACCTCACCCACCCTTTTCCTGAGAGAAGTGGCATTCATATTATTACTAGAGGCAACTTTCGCTTTTTGTCTGATTTTTGCTTGCTGTTTCCGTTTTAGCACTCTGTAACATTATAAAAGCAACTGCTGAGTAGCACACTGATTCAGCTTTAGTGAGTTCAAAATACAAACCGTTCCACAGGAAAGAAAATAAAATGCCTTCTCTTATTCTGATTTAATTGGACATCTTTAGTGAGAGCAGACAGTAATCCCACGAAACTTAAAAGCTTTTTTTCCTGGTACCCACAATGAAGTGAAGTGCAGTACAAGGAACTCTCCTTACATGTTTGTCCTTGGAAGTTTCCAGTCCTTCTAGATAAATTTCAGGATGGGTGCTTAATGTTTTCGTCTTTCCTTACCCTTGAGTTTTCAGCCAGATGCTATATTCTTTGCTTATGTTTCGAAGTCGTAGCAAGGAGTGAGTTGTTTTAGTTAAAGGGTTACTCATCCCAAGGAATACATTTCTGTGGTGGATCATTCAATCAATTTGTAACATTTGCACATGAGTTTACAAAGCACTTAGGATCGCAGTGGACTGAGAACCACGTATGTGCTCCTCACATATACGTGAGATTACTGATTAGTCAAAGAGAATAAGAATAATTTGAAAAGAAAGTTCTGAAACAGGAATAAACCTGTCTATCTGTTCTCTTTTTTTTTTTCTTAAAAAAAAAAAAAAAAAAAAACCAAAACCTACAATTTGAAATTTCTAGGGCGAAGTGCAAGTTTGTAAAATAATCCTATTTGATCTGGAGGAGACTGAAGGATTTGGATTTTCTTCCTATGACTGTGAGGGCCATAAATGCCTTAATGTAATTCTTTGTGAAGTTCACAACCCATTTGAACATCCTTGAGAAAAGCTAGTATGTGAGTTGTACAATCAAGTCAAAAGTAGATTTAATTTAGAAAATGGTTTAAATTGAAGTACTTTTCATGATTTGTCCTGATGTTGCTATCCTGCTTTGGGGAATAGTCTGAGCACAGGGAAGCAGCTAGAAATGCGAATCTTCTAATTATTAATTTCCAACTGTTGATGAGAATTTGATAAATATCCCAAAACTTCCATATTACCACCTACCTTTTAACTTTCATCTTGATGTGTTTTAATGCAGAGTATCTTGTAAACCACCGTTTGTGACCTAAATCCGAACACAAAGTACACATAGCATTTTGCAGATATATCCTGCTTGTCAGCTACCTCTGTAATCATCTCATGCTACTGTGTAATAATACCCATCAGTTTGAGTCATGGCAGCAGTGATTAAGAGCAGATTGTGGCTTTTTAAAGAAAGTCCAGAATGCTTCTCTGCTTGATCCAGCTCAAATTCCTCTCACCAGACCTCTGTGGAATTCTGGGTTCCATCTGTAACTCTCTTCTACCAGGGAAACTCAGCAGCCTTCCACGTGACCACGCTTCACCACACCAGACCTATTGCAGGGTTTGCAATTTGCATGCATGCCTGCAGTCCCCTTGCTTTTTGGGTGACTGCTTGTAGGAAAGATGGAAGAGCTTGCAATGGCCTGGAGCTGCGGGATTTGGTAGGATTCAAGTCATGATGGTGTTCCTGCAGCCTCCTCAGTTCACTCTTCTCTCCTCCGTCAGAGAAAGGTGCATTTGCGGCTTGGCTGTCTGTCGGCTGAGGGCTGCTCTTTTACCTGGACTCTTCCAGTAATGTTTTCTGATTATCCATGATGCCTGGTCTTTAGATTGTGCACTTCAGTACATCTTTTAAATGTGCATAATTTACTAATTCTCCTTTAGAATATCGCTCTTTTTGTTTGGAGAAGTTTTCAAAATCCTTGGTGTCCTGTTTTGTCCTCATACGAAGAGCCTCAGTTCCACTCACGTTTCCTGCTTTGCAGAGTGCTGCGAGTTCTGTGGCCTCATCATGGGTTCATGAGAGATGAATACTAACCTGCCATGTTTATTTTTAGGAAATCTTGGTTATGGACCCCAGAGCAAGTCCATTGGAAAAGGCAGCTGCAGCAATGTAATTGTCACCAACAGTCCCATCACAGTTCAGCAGCTGGGACCTGTTTCACCTCCTGATAATCAGGTTTCAACAGCGTGCAACCAGATCAGCCCTAGCTTACAGAGGTCTATGGATGCTTCCAGTCTGAGTGCTTCTTCTTCAGATACAAGGTCCTGAGTTATTTTTTGATATTCAGTACTTTAAAAAGAGGGTATTTTAATTCTGCTTTAATTTAAATGCAACCTTTCTGTTGATTAAAATGGCCTAAATTATGCTCTGTTATGTCACAGGAAATGTAATTCACTGCATTTTAATTCACATCAGGTATAATCATACTGTTTGGATCATTCAAATCATGGGTGAAATTTGGCCATACATTTTCTATGTTTGATAGGGATTTTCTTTATTAGATAAAGATTTTTATAGTCACTTACCTATATTTTTTATAGTAAGAACAGGAAATGTTGTGGAGGATGAAGGCATAAATGGTCCACGTGTAACATCTTCAGGGGCACTGACCTGTTTTAAGCTTACCATAGTGCTAAAAGTGTTATGTTGGTGCCTGTCAAGTAACACTAATGTCAGCCAAACTTAAGTGCCCTGCTTATGTTCCTCTCTTGTCATCAAATAGCTTTGTTTTCAAACTGTTTAATTGTTTGCGTAACTAAGTTAATCTGATCAATTGTTCCCAGTCTGCACAGAGCCAGCAGCTAACTTTATCTGTATTAGACCTGTGTTCCTGAAAACTCGTCCATTTTCCTAGCTCTGGTGGTTAGTTTAATAAAAAAAATGGCCTCTCCCTGTAAATGTTGCCTTTTTATTTTACTAAAGCACAGATAAATGTTTGTTATTATTTTTTAAATGCTTAAAAACTTTTGAGATTATGGCTGTATTTTCAACAAACACAAATGAAGGGAAAATAGTTATTTGACAACTTCTATACAAGTACATTAAGTGTGCCCCTGGATATTAGTTAAACATACAATGAGGAAACATTCTGGTGCTTTACTTCAGAAGCTGGGTTCTTAGGTTTGTAGATGAGACTTGTGCAACAGTTGCCTACTGGGTTGAAATGTAACTGTTCTTATTTCCAAAAGGCCACAAGAGTATTTATTCTCAAAACAGTTTACATTTTACTGTATCACTTTATTACAAGGCAAGGAACATTCTTGAAATAATTAAAATTGGTGTAACTGAAAGAAAACTTTGCTTTACTCTACCATAAGACAGTTTTTGCCATTTCTGTCACTTTAGTTGTGAAGACTGAGTCCCCCGGGGAAAACTTGCAAAAGTAATTATGCTTCCTATGTAAATGTGTCAGGGAGAACCATTCAGTGCTAAGATGATGAAAAATGACAAATCCAGAGGCATGCCTTTGAGACAGAACAAAACTGATGATATAAAAATATCATTAAGCAATTATTACTTACTTAAAAAGTTTTAGGTGTGCCTGTATGGCACACCCCAAATACAGATCCATGCTATTATTTTTGTCTGAGTGTGTGGTTGGGTGTACTATGTCAGTACTGAGTTATACATTTTTGTTTGTATTTTAAAGAAACATTTACTAAGGGTAAACTGAAGTTGAAACTCTGGCAGAATTGAGGCTCTTGTGTCCCTAGAGTCTCTTTTAATGATTTATCAATGAAGATGTTATAAAATCAGTTTGTTACACAAAGAATGTCCATTTCAGCAATTTTGCCCTCAAATTGACTATTTTATAGGGCAAAACAAATGTAAAGTCAGAATTTAATTCACGGGTTGTTGAAACACTTTTTTTTTTTTAATTGCTTCAGCAATAAACCACATTTGCCTGAACTGATTGCCTAAATTAGAATTAGCTCCATAGTCCTTCATAGGCTGATTGTCTTCTCTGGATTATATCTCTTGGGTGTCATGAACTGTGCTCTGGCAGGTCAATCCAAACCAGATTATTTGCTGAATTGACCCCAACCAAAATGATTTGTCTTCATTTTTACTGATGGAAGAAGAAAAAAACTTGGCAAAATTTGAGTTTTGATACAGATAACATCAGATTTTGGTTTATAGCCCATGAAGAATAAAACCTTTCCCATCTTTTTGAGAGTTTCCCAAAAACTTTTTCAGAGTATTCAGTTATGCTGCTTGAAAACAGATGTAGTACTGCCATTTACTTTGATGCAAGTCATGAAATGACCTAGGAAGGAGCAAAGGGTTCTTGGCTAGTAAAACAGAAGATCATGCAAAAAGATAAGAAAACATAATTTTCACTATTCCGTGTTTATATTTAAGATTCTGGGTTATACTTGACACAGTGGTCTCTGTACAGAGAGGGAAAATAGAACATAATTACAGGAATCTCTTGTAAATGTTCATAAAAGATCTGGTCCAAACTCATGCTGGTTTAGATTAAAATAAGCAGACATGCCAATTAATACCATCTGAGAATCTGCCATAGTGGTATAGCTGGCCCTTCATTTTCGTATTAGGTATATTTATTTTCCCTCAGAAAACTACTTAGTCTGGGCTGGGCCTTAAAGACATTTTCTTTATTTTGGGACATGGTATCTTTGCTACTTTTGTATTTAGTCTTAAGTGAGAACAGAACTTCTTCAGATTATCTGGCTCTTACTTATTGTATACTTGAAATTCCAGGCCAACTTTTTATTTTTGTCCTGTTATACTTTTAAAATGCAGTTTTCCTCCAGCGCCTTTGATGGGTATGTCCCTTTGTGTTAGGCACTATGAGCTTTTAGAATGATAGTAGTCCTACTATGCATCTTATTAAAACGCTTGACATTCCAAGAATAGACTTGTTATATTTGTGCATGATTTTTTTCCCTATGTATAAAAGAGAAAATAAACATTTAAATAATCAAACTGACAAAATCCCACCCTAATTATATTTTTTTATGTAATTATAGATGTCCTAGGATGGAAAAATCAAACCTTACTTACTTTTCTTGCTCTGTTGAAAACTGTGGATTTGTATTTGGGGTCACAGCATACTAATGGTTTAACTGCCCTGTAATGAACTGTGCCTTAACAAAGCCCATTGATAACAGACCCAACAGCCTGAATCTATTTTTTTATTCTTTTTTTTTTTTTTCCTGCACAAATAATGATCCCTTTAGATCTAAGTCTTACACAAGATTGACCTGATACAGCAATCCCATTTTTCTAATTTTTCTCAATGCAAATGGCATGTAGTCAGCATGTTAATTGTGCTTCAGTGCTCTGTTTCGAAAGTGCTATTTAAACCCTGATGGAATAACATTACCCCCATAACAGTACCCTATACTGACATTCAGTCTGAACAGGATGTGTCTAATTCTGATACAGCATATCAACCATATGTTGCAAAGCAAGTATCTCAAGCAAGGGAGAATTTACCCATCTATGGTATAGGTCACCACAGCAAGGCTGGGTGATATTTAAAGCTACATTTTTGCTCTTTGTGAGCTACTTCAGTGTGCAGGCATAGCACCTGCAAACTGCTTCTTTTCTCTCTAAGACTGTGCCAAGCTTCCTCTCTAGAAAAAAAGGGGCTGAGGGAGCAGCCACAGTGCACTGAGCACCAATTCTTCTCTTCCAGCTCTTTGGCAATGACTGGGCTGTGTACTTGCAGCATGATCCAGCCCTTAAACTAAAGTCACTGCAAACTAACTTTTCTTTCTTCATGTTGATTGACTCCAAAATTCTGGAAAATGCTGCAATATTGCATAGTAGGGAAAAAAACATCACTCAGGGAGTGCTTATGTAATGGGCAGAATAAGATAACAAGGACACTTACTTTTCAGCTTTAACCTCTGTGGCTAGAACTGAATGTGGACAGCTATATATATTTCTCTTGCCTGAATGATTTTACCTGGTGTTGTCATATATTCTTTCAACCTTGCTGATGTAATTGAAAGATAATCCAGAGATCTCAGGTGAAAAGTTGATTTACCAAGCAAAGTCACGGAATTTGGTAAATATTGCCATATTCACTGGCAAAAAATATCTCCAGAGCCATTGTTCTTGCTCTCTTGGGCTGATCAGTGTTGTTTTAAATGGGATTCAGATGCCCAGGTTTAGCTTACCCCCAGTTCTTAAATTAAGCAGTTTCATGTATCTCCACTGAAGCTGCAGTCACTGTAGTAGGGCTATGATGCATACACATGATGCAACTATAAACCTTAACAGATCTATGTTTCTTGAAGCAGTGACTGTAAGAAAATCTTGCAGAACTCAGAAGCAACTGCAATATTGCTTACCCCAAGCATCCATCAAAACTTGCTTCCCTATTAAAAAAAAAAAGAAGCAAGTAAAACAGGCAGAAGTGCCTCCTGTAACTGTGTCTGTATCAAGAAAGAGATTATATTTGTTTTTATTAATTTTATGGTGCATACTTCCTCTTTTAGAAATTTGAAGTTTGTAGCAATATAAAACCATTCAGTAAAATAGTTATAAATAACTGACTATAGGAACTTACCTTTGTAAATAAGAATACGCTATTTCTTGCCTACATGACAGTTCCTTAGTACTACTGCATGCAAATATTTCATATACTATTTACTGAGAGCTTTAAGAAATATTCTTCAACACCTGGTACTTAAGGTTCCTATTAGCACTTAGTAGCCATCTTTTTTTAAGCTAACTTGTCCTCCTGAAGTCTTTGTATGGTAGAAGGAATGATTGTGTATCTAGTTTTTTTATGTGAGAAGCTGAGAAGCGGTGATTGACTTGTCCACCTTAAAAATGCATTTTAGATTTAGAAGAGAAACCAGATTTCCTATGTACCTGATCCACCATTGAAACTCTATGCTTCTTCAAAAGTGTATTGTGAAAATAATAAACCCAGGAATTAACCCCCAAAACATAAGATGGAGAGGCTTCTGTGATATCTCCAAGTTCATCTAGATGCGTACCTGGTTCTTCCTACTGTTAGAGACCCTTAAAAATAGAAATTAATATACTGATAGCACAACTAGCTGGCAGGAAATCCAAGTCTGCCAGATGTGAACTGAAAACATAAAGACATAAATCCACTTGGTCTCTACCCAGCATTTGCAGTCATGAATCAGGGACCCTGGTGTCCTTGTATTTCCATTTTATACCGTCTGTAGAAAACAATATTGTTAAGAGCTTATGAGTTCTTTCTTTTAAGCTACTGTTAGGACATTTGCAGCATAAACAAATTTCATAATAATTCTGTGACAATGATAACAGCAAGATTACAGTTTCATGAAAAATTTTGATTCCTGACTTGGAGGCAGCTACATCATCAAATCAAAACTAACTAAACCCCTTCAACCAGTTCTTCTACATTATTCATTTATTTTGTTTGTTTTGTAAAGTTAGATATTATCTGTATTTATAAAATTGAGCTATTTCTGTAGCAAATACTATTTGTACACATTACAATTGGAAAAGTCATTCAGGTTAAATATTTATTCTTTATTAGTCAGTTTTCTTCCTGTCCTTTGCCAGTAAAAGTAGTAGTCAACTCAAATCAATATGAGTTTCATACAAGGCAGGAGCATAATGCTTTGGATTCATAAACCCGAACTTATTTACACCACAGTTGATGAAAGAATTTGCATTGATTTCTGCAGTGATATATCAAGAACCTTTACATCAACTCTTATTCAAAATCTTGACGTTTTAAAGTTGGTTTCCTAACTACGTATTGCCTCTATATGCCTGCTGGTACATTAACTGAGAGCGCTAAAGTTGAGTACCTAAAACTAGGGAGAACTTTTCTTGCATGTAGCCTTTCTTTAGTTCTATGTGTGTGTGAAGATAGAAGATCCACTGCTAAATTGTCTAACTTACTTTATTGTGCCTTTATTCCAGGTCGTTCCTGTCATGTGAGTCTCTGGCCTCCACAACATTAAGCTTGTCAGAAAGTCAGTCTACTTTGAGTGTGAAGCAGGAGTGGTTGCATGGGTACAGGACACTTCCTTCTGCTACTCCTGACCAAGGTTTACAAAACGGCAGTGAGCTGGGGGACTTCCTAAATTTTTCACCTGGAACATCTGTGTCCAGTCACTGCATCTCTAACTCATTACCATCCTACTTACATGGCATGGAAAATAAGAGTTCCCCTTACTCTAGTCCTCACCATTCCTCAGCTCGGTCTCAACCAACCCACCCCAAAAAGAGAGCACTCTCTCTATCTCCTCTCTCTGATGGCATTGGGATCGAATTCAACACAATCATCCATACATCCCCAAACTCTCTGGTGGCCTACATCAACAGCTCCAGGACATCACCGGGAAACGTCTCCCCACAGCCTGAGGTCTATGGACATTTTTTAGGAGTGAGAGGAAGCTTTATACCCCAAAATTTCTCTATCCCAACTGCCCAGAAAGGCCTTCTCGTGGCTAATGGCAATGTCACCTTCCCAGGGTACATTGAGAATGGGGCTGGTGAGTACCAGCGGATGCAGCAGCTGGAGCAAGCCAGCTTGCAGATGGCCACCACAAGTAACACGGTGATACAGCAGGGCGTGCCGCCCGTGGACAACCAGGTGGTGGGCATCCTGAAAAATGAACGGCTGGATGACTTCTCAGGCCGTATGGTCAACATGCCTCCCCCATCCCTGCTGCCGCTGCCTCCTCCACAGGGGCCACCCCCGCCATACCATGCTCACCAGCACTGGCATCCACACAGCCTCCCCAGTCACATCCACCCGCTGCCTGCAGCTCCTTCTGCCCCAGGCTCCCTGCTTGATGAAGGTGGTGAGCTAGACCATTTCCCTGGCAAGCATGGCTGTCGCTGGGTTGACTGCAATGCGCTGTATAGCCATCAAGAGGAACTTGTGCGGCACATAGAGAAGATCCATATAGAACAGAGGAAGGGAGAGGACTTCTCTTGCTTCTGGGCAGGGTGCCCACGAAGGTACAAGCCATTTAATGCCCGTTATAAACTGCTGATTCACATGAGAGTTCACTCGGGAGAGAAGCCAAACAAATGCACAGTAAGTCCAAATTCTGTCTCTCTTGCCAATAAAAGACTTTATAATAGTCATGAAAATATAGAGAAGTTGTAGTTCTGCCTTTGCTTGTCCTAGTTAATGGTGTGCTTTTTTAACTGTTCTGTGTGGATGAATGATTGCTCCATCTTTCCACCTAGATAGAAAAGGAAAGGTATTCTTTAATTTGATATGTACCAACAGATAGGATTAGACAAAATTTTATTTTCTAAACTTATAAAATTTTACTGTAAACTGCAAAAGTGACATGGTAGGTTTTCATAAAGCAAAACTTAAGTACCATCAGTACTTAAGTACCTGAATGAAGCACACATGCAGGAAAAGTGCTGCAGAATAAATGGCACAATTTGTCCTGAAATATTCTTGCATCATGTTACTCCTTTTTGATTCGAGGAACTTTCAGGAACTTGCATAATGTTACCACGAGAAACTGAGAACAGTTGGGTATTTTCTAAAGCAGTTGTTTGTTTCATTACTAACAAAAAAACAGATCCACGTCCCTGGTTCCATTAATATAGTAGGAATAAAACACATAACCATTTCTCTGTTCACAGACTCAAGCAGCATTCACCCCTCAAAGTCATATTTTTTTTGCTGTTTTTCTTAGAGTCACTGCAAGTCAGTTTCACACATACATAATCACATAGGGTAACAATCCAGCTGGTAAACCTTAGAATCAGTTTATATTTAGATTCCATGAACCATCTATAATCTCTGTAATTCAGATTCTTGATTGGCCTTACATATAGTCTGTATTTTGTATGACCATTAGTTTACCCTTACTAAGTGCTTATTTTATGTAATCAGAAAGCAGCCTCACCAGTGCTATTTCCAGTTCCCAGCATAACATAACAAAACAATGAATATATGATTTCTAGGAATAGCTGCTGGTTATTATTCACTTGAAAAACAACATATTTGTTTATATGTTGTGAAATATAATGTGGGTGCCCAGTTGAATAATTTTATTACCATGATGTAGAAGTTTGCTTGTGCAGTAGATAGAGGAAATTTTTTTCTTTCACTTTTGTTAATTCACAGGGCCAATCTCCTTCAGGGAGAGCAAGTATCTTCCCAGATCTCTCTAGTGAATTTAAAGGACCTGGTAAAGATTGTGTCATGACACCAGGAAGATTTTATCTTTCCCTTTTGTCACTTAAATCAAAACAATCCATTCATAATCTGTATTTGTCCATTTGGGATCTTTCTATAATTTATTTTCTGGTTCTGCTTGTAGGATACCTCTTTCTCTAAAATCATTATGAAGTAAAAGTCTATGTCCACTGCAGTTTGTACACTAATAAGAGGCAGTCTAGTAGACCAAGCAGGGAAGGAAAAATGGCAAATACACATCTGTTATATGAGCCAACCAGAGTTACTACAGAGAATATAGCAGAATTAATAAGTCTTTGGGAGGAACTATCTTAATGTAACGTATCAAGACATCCTATAGTCAAAGGCAGCCAGTTACACTAGTTACCTTAGTGACATCACACACTAGACATTGTGTGAGCATTGTACGCGTTGACGGTTCCTAACGTTTTGCAAGAAACAATCTTCTTGTTCAGCATTTATCGCAATGGACCTGGTCAGTATATTTGTCACATAGTACTTGTTTCTGTGCAGCTGACTGCTGAAAGTGTATTAATACTTTATGCTGTGTTGTATATTCCAATGTATTGTTGTGATAGTTTAGCAAGATTTGCAGGGTTTTAGTAATACAAGGTCAGGGTTACTTCTAAGTTGTTTTATTGTAACGTAAATAGGGATAATGCAGAATCAGTTGCACAACTAGTTATAAGATGAACTTCATAAAACTGTTTTATCATTCTCAGTTATCCCTCTGTGGTGATGAAATCATATATTTGAGAAGAGACTTGAAGAACAGCTAGGACTGCAGTACTTGATGTGCTTATAGTTAAAATCAGAGCCAAGTAGAATATTCCTTTGACCTCAGCATTTATTTTGCCACATCTGAACTAGTTTCTATTTATCTATTTAACAAAAATTTGAAGTGATAAATTATAGCAACAGGCAACACTCTAGTCTGTAGTTCCTTCTTGTTCTGGATGAGGAGTCTTCTTTGATTCTGGAGGATAAAAGTGTTGTAGGGTGAGTATTAATCAAATAACAGCACATAAAAACATGCGACGATCATGATAATCATATCCAGACTTAAAGTTGAGCATTCTGAAGGTCAGAAACTCAGACCATACTGGTCCCTCTATACAAAGGTAACTAGGGTGGAGTGGAAAATAACTGCATACTGGTCCTGATAGCTTTGTTTCATATTGTTGTTTTTCTGTGATTCAGGCTCTTTTTTTCCCACTTTAGCTGAATTTGTTACTGAAGCTGCATGTTCGGATTAGATCTTGGTAACTTGATCCAATATACTTTCTCTGTGTACTGAAAAATCATGGTACATTTTTCATTCCTGCTCATTCTAAAAGATTCATTCTTGTTCTAACAAAATGCACCTTAATTTTAAAAAGCATGAATTTCATGGAGTCCTGCATTTTATTTTATATGGGAGGCCAAAGTAGGTGATGCTTGGTCTTGCTTTATTACATGGAAATTTGTGAAGTTGAAGAGTACCTGCATGCAAGAGGCCTCACCTGAAGTTGTCTTGTTTGGAATAGGAATTCATTAAATAGCTGTTAAAATGTATTGGGCTCCCTTACTGTTCATTAGAACATCTGTCAGATTCTATTCCAACTTACTGCATCTGGAACGTATTCTTCTTTTTAGTGACCTGGTTTAAAGACTAAAAAAATTATTCATGACTTGGTAATACATATTTAATGTCTATTCCAAAACTTCTTTATATAAAGTAGGTATAGCATGTTCAAATGAGTTGTATTTATTTATTAATCTATACATTAACTTGTACTTTGTAGGAATAAGTTAAAGAAGAAGTTGTTGAATGAAAAAATGATATTAACATGCAAGCAGTTAATATGCCAGTGGCAGAGATAAAATCTGTAACATTTTTCAGCAGTTATCACACAGTGGTATCTGAGGTTCCCTCAAATTTCCTCTGAATTAGAAAAAAAGATAATTCCCAGTAGCTGTGGAAACCCCACAGTAGCAATTGGCAAATGCTGACCTTTTGCTGTACCTGTAAGCTTATTTTCTACTCAGTGTTCCTTCTTTTATAGTGTGTATTTTTGTACTTTTCAAGTTCAGCTGCAATAAGAGGTACTTAAGTGTTATTGTCATGCTGTGCAAACAATAAGCTTAGTATATTTATTCTGGTGTAAATAGCAACAGCATGTTGTTAGAGATAAATTTTAGGCTCTGTCTTTGCCCTTTCATTCAAGTACACTAGGAATGCTTCCCCTTTTGAAATGGAATTAAATTTTTTTGCTTTCTGTAAGTTCTGAATTATGTTTCAGCACAATGTTATTAGTTTTTTAAAGTATGGGATAGTAATACATATACTGCTCTTTTTATCACAGCTGTTAGATGTGATTTAAACCAACAATGCTAGTATTCCTGACAGATTTGAAGCAACATCCATGTAACATCTGCTAAATATCTGAAATTACCCCACAATACATCAGTCGACTAAGCATGTAAACCAGAAGATACGGTTAAAAAAAAAAAAAACAAAACACTGACATAATGCTTTTTTGAGACATAGGTAAACATCTTTGGGTGAGCATGAGTATTTATATAGATGTGCTATTTGAAGAACATGTGCTTGGAAGATGGTGTTCAAGATGAAATATTGATTAAAACCAGAAATGCATTCTGGTAAAAATGATTGTGAAACTTCTTCCATCTTCAGGCTTTAGCAGTGTGCCTTCATATGTGTCCTGGGTTGAGTGAGTGGTGGAGTTTTTTGGTGGCAGGGGAGGGGGCTATTGGGGCGTCCCCCTGTGAGAAGCTTCTCGAAGCTCCCCCAGCTCCAAGTCAGCTCCACTTCTGTTTGGGAAATTGAGCCAATCAGCTGCGCCTCTGCGATAACATATTTAAGAAGGGACGTGGTGACGGGCAGTGGGACTTCTGAGGAGGAGTTTCTACAGATGCATGAACACCAAGGTCAGTGGAGGAATGGAGGAAGAAAGGAGGGGGGAGGTGTGCCGGAGCAGAGACCCCCCTGTATCCTGTGGTGAGACGGCAGGGCGCCCCTCCTGCCACCCATGAAGATCTACGGTGGAGCAGACATTGATTTATGGCCTGTTGTTCCTGCTCAGCTGATCAAGGTTCTGTGCCTGAAGAAGGCCGGGGTCTCATGGGAAAAGGTAGCCCCGCTGCTGTAATTCAGCACTGGGAGGATTGCAGCATGCGGGGGTGTCCCACGCCGGAGCAGCTCGGGAAGGGCTGCAGCCGTGGGAGAGAATCCAGTCGGAGGAAGTTAGTGACCCATGACGGAGCAGTGTGGGGAACGCTGCGGCCCATGGGAGGAATTCAAGTTGGAGAAAGTTTGTGGAGGACTGTCTCCTGTGAGAGGGTGACCACGATGGAGCAGGGGGAACAAGTTCCGGACACTCCCCTCACCGAAGATAAGGGAAGTGGCAGCACTGACTGCACCCCCCATTCCCTGTCCCTGCGCCACTGGGGGAGGAGGTAGAGATATCGGGAGCAGAACTGAGCCCGGGAAGAAGGGAGGGGTGGGGGGAAGGTGTTCTCAAGATGTGGCAATGCTTCTCACTGTCCTACTCTGTTATGTGTTGTTAGTGTCTGTAATAAATGTTCTTTTTTTCTTCCCCTAACGAGTCTGCCTTTTGCTCGTGATCATAAAAGGGGGATTTTTCCCCATCCCAGTCCTATCTTGAACCCCAAGCCTGACTCTCTGTCCCTTCTCATTGCTGGAGGGGAAGGGAGAGAGAGCTGCTGCATTGTGGTTGGCTGCCAATCAGGCCTAAACCACAACAGTTTTTGGCGCCCAACGTGGGGCAGAGGGTTGCGATGTGATAAGGATATTAATTGGGAGTGGTAATGAGCAAAATACAGACTGAACTCCGTTGGTGGAATGATCT